CAGGGCGAGGACGGGCAGGCTGCGCACCAGGGACACCAGCCCTGCCCTCCCGCTGACCGTGCCCCTGCCTCCTCCGGCCACCTCTTACCCCTTCGCTGTTTCTCAGCCATTTCCTCCCCTGCCTGATCCCCTCCCTTCCCATTTCCCCATCCACTGCTCACTCCTCCTCTCCCCTCCTCTTTTTTTTCCCCTGACAGTTCCCCCTCACCCCATCTCTTCAACATCCCTTTTAAGACTCTCCCCTTACACCCCGCCACAATCCCTCCCTAACTCTCATCTTTCTACTACTGCCTTCTTCCTTTTTCCATCCTCCCCCTGGTTTCAGCCTCTGCTCCTGAAGAGGAGGGATCTGCTCTGTCCCTGGTTGTTAGCAGAACCTGCTCCAGCCCTTGCTGCTGCACCCACTACTCACCTCCTCGCTGTTTCTTCAAGCCTCTTGGGAATGGCTTCGCTCCCACTAGCTTTCTAGGTGCCTTGCAGGTAGCCCTACCAATAAATAAATAAATAAATAAAAGGTGTGAATTTAAGGCAGAAAGAAGACTGGGATCCTCCAAAGCAGCCCAGCTCATGGGGAAGCCGCCCGCACACTCACCTCTCCTCTCCCAAAAGGGCCCTGCCAGGCCCTCAGCAAACACCAAGCACAGCCACAGTCCCTGCTTGGGCCTGTCACCCTCCGTGACTCTGTCCTGGCTTTGGAAACCCTTCTCCACTTTCACCTAGGTTTTTTGTTTAGAATGGTTTCCCCATAAAGCCAGGCAAGTGGATTCACTGACAGAGCAGGATGTCAGGAGGAAGCCGGGGGAAAATGAGTTGACTCTTTGGACGTTGGTAAGTTCATTACCAGGAGCATTCGCTCCCCCTCTGACCATCCTCAGCAATACCTAGCACTCAGAGCAGGCTCCTCCACCCCATCGCAGCAGCACAAAACACAAACTAGGCTTCTCAAAGCACCAAATGCCCAGAGATCTCATGCAAGGACCTATTAGGGCAGAGTTATTTGTTTTAAGTTCTTGATGGAGTTAATCATGAGCATTTGCGTTTTTCGATCCCCATGATTAAAAGAAAGTCTGGAAAGATGCAGGGAAGCTCTGGCGCAGCTGAATGCAGAAGTCATTAAGAAGGCGCATGAGGGAACTGACACACATGAATGTGAGAGCAACATAAGACAAAAACAGATGGGCTGGTGGTGTGGGCTGAGCAAACAACTCAAGCACCTAAAAAGAACAGTGCTGAGATGCAAACAAAAACAGGTTTGGTACCTGAGCCTGACACTGGCTTAGAAGTACTCAGAAGCTTGAAAAAGTCAATGACGAAACACCATGGAAAAGAACAGTAACTAAATAGTACTTCCCAGCATTTCTAACAAAACAAATTGCACAAAGATGCAAATACCTGTACCTCACGGATTCTATTCACAGTAATTCTACTAACAGTTCTTTTAATTTTCCTAGTATTCGGAAGCTTTATGATCAATCGCACTAACTGCTTGGGATAACACCAAGGACACACCAGCAGCAGTTTAAGAGGCAAGAACTGGCATCCTTTGCAAGGACGGGCAGCCCTGCGGGGTCAGCAAGGGGGACGCTTCAGCCTGGGCGCTCCCCGTGCCCTGGGCTCGCGGGGCGCAGGACTGCGCGGAACGGCCGCGGCTCCAGCCCTGGCGCGGGGGCTGCTCCAAAGCCGCCCGACTGCAGCAGCAGAAGGACCTTTGTCTGAACACCCAATGTCTGCAGGAGCCCCCTGCGAGCACAGCTGACCTAACACCCTCCGCTCTCATTTCCTCCAAAATAGGAGGCTTATAGCAAATTTCACAGACCAGATCTGCTAATGTGAATGACCAAGCTTCCATCGATCCCAGTGCCAATGGCCCTGGGATCAGCTGCGGACAGGCCTTACATGTTTTTATTCCAGTTTATTTTTTATGATCCTCATTTGCTGTGTCTTCATCTGGTGTTTATGTAGATGGTAGTTGGTTTTCATTATTTTTTAACTGCATTTCAGATTATTTGCTCTATGGTTTTGTTCACATTCTCCTTTTCCACGAAATTCTAATAAAACATTTGGCTACAGATTTTCCAAATTGAACACTGATGTTTAGTGCAGTTAATTATGTACCAGGGTTCAAAGCAAGTTCTATAATGTAACAATTTACATATTCTTGAAAACAATGGGCACAGTCCTATAAACTATTGTTGCAAGCTAGTTTCACATTCTTCTGGAATTTCCTTTAAAAAAGTACATGTGTTTAGAATTCTCATACATACGAAAAGCAGTAAATACTCCATTGTTGGGACCATTAAAACATTATAATGAAAATAGAAAATACATTCTTATGTCTTTCAAACCTAAAGGGACATTTAAAAAAAAATTCTTCAAGGGCTTCAAAGCATTTCCCAAATACTAATTCAGCCACTCAATATCTATCAATAACCAATGACATGCAAAGATCATTCTACTCTCCAAAATTCAGGATGGTTGCAACAACATTATATGTTTACTGTTCTAGCCTCACCAGTGTTCTGGCATAATAAGTTTAACTTGAATTTTATTAAGTGTTCTTTTTTTTTTGACCAACTGAACTACAGAGAGAAAATTCATTGTGTGTTTGAAGCAGCAAATATCTTCTAAGAGCTTAGGAAAACTGGGACAATGGCTTAGCCACACAGACCCAGTATTGTCAAATGTGACATACATGGGAAAATTGAATTGCTTTTCTACTGCCTTTGGGTAGTCCTTCTTCTGATTTACTTATAGCCACTGCATCAGTATTATTTAGTTAATACAGAGTGACAGTTCTAAGCCATGATAACATTAATTTGATATATAAATTACATGTAATGCTATGAGAGCAATTATTGTACTGTGAACAAATATTTTTTAGTGTCATGGCCAATATTGCAATTAATAAGTAAGCCTGATGTTTAACTACAATCATAATTACCCAAATAGTGTAAATACAGTTACCTTCATATTGAAAGTGCCACACAAGTGAGTTTACCCCAGTAAATGATTTTTAAATTCCAAAAGCACCAATAAGATCCACAGTGCCCTCTGCTGGGCTATTTTCAATATTCTCTGAATATTTCCACACAATTCATTATCAGAAGCTAGAATGGACAATGTAGATAACAGGCTGAAAGCCTGACGAATTTGATCTAGATGGTCAATCCTGATATCATCGTGTTCTCAACTAGCTCACCAGCTGAGCAGCCCTCAGCATACGTGTAACACAGTGCAATCGAGCACCACACGTCGGTATTTTTCAGAACACTGGTCATACAATCACAGACGAGTTACGTATTATTCACTAATAATCTGATCATAAACATTAATGAATTCGTTTACAAACAGTTGCCCTATTTCTGTAGTCGGAAGCAGGTAGCATTTGCAAAATTAATTAATTTCCTCTCAGCTGGAAAGGTAACAGAAACATGGCAGGTCCTGTCTTTACTTTCTTCTAGTTTGACTCCATGGTAGAGCCAACTTTGTAGATACTCATTTGTTTCTACTAATTCTGAAAGAAATCAGATATTCATGAACAAGCTATGCCAAGAAAAGACAGTTAAATGCAGGATTTCTAAGGAGTATCTGTGGAGGTGTGGGCCAGCAGATACTGTCTTACAACAGTGACACACAAACTCACTACTAAAGGATGTCAAAACCAGGTAGCGACAAGCTGTGCACTGCTTAAACAACACGTCCTGGAGAAGCAAGGGACACAAGGAAACACAGGCCAACCTAGCTGTGAAGCAAGGTATTACATAACAGGAACTGCAGGATTATAAAAGATTAAACAGTTAGGATCTGTAGCAACTAGTTTGTTTTAACACTTAAATATTGATAGGAAATTACTTTTAACAACAGACAATGCCAAATGATTTCCTTTATAAAAACACTGTATGGACACAAATAATTTTAGGATATATCAGCACCATTCAATATAAAAATGTTCCTTTGCAGTAAAAGGCAGAGGGACTCATTATTCAGCAGATGATACTTAATGTGCTACTTATTCTAGGTTACTGACACTACCAGAGGATGCTGCTTCTATCTACAAACAGCAACACATGCAAGGTACTTCCCAGCAAGCCTGAAATTCTGCATTCCCCAAAGGGTAATTCCAAAGTATGCCAGTGTTAAATTTAGCATAAGTTTTTCATCAATAGGCAGAGGGACTCATTATTCAGCAGATGATACTTAATGTGCTACTTATTCTAGGTTACTGACACTACCAGAGGATGCTGCTTCTATCTACAAACAGCAACACATGCAAGGTACTTCCCAGCAAGCCTGAAATTCTGCATTCCCCAAAGGGTAATTCCAAAGTATGCCAGTGTTAAATTTAGCATAAGTTTTTCATCAATTACTCTTTTTATTTATTTTATTTTTTTTCCAAAGTCTAGATCAGGAAAACTCCCTCAGTAATGAAAAGATGAGAAACTAGTGTTCACTGATCATTTTGAGGAAAGGAACATTGAAGTGCGATCTATAGACCCTCACAGGTGTCTACGGACACCTATAGACAGACTATAAAGAAAACATAGGTGATGTTTTCTTCAGAACACCTTAGCCCTAAGAAGTCATTAAGCTACATACATGTGTGCACAGTGTGAGACGTCAGCAGTGATTAGTACTGCAGTGTTTAATTAATGACGTAGTTTCATATTAATCCAGAGTCACTAAATGTAAATGGAAGAGTACTAGATGAATGAGAAGGAAAAGGCCTTAAAAATCTGTATTTTTATTTAGAAAGCTCAGTAAAAAACAAGCTATCAGTGTGAACTTTTGACTTTATAAGAAAGTAGATTCAAAAACCTTCAGAATTTATCACCACAGAAACATACCCTACCCAAGAATAACCAAGAATAGAAATATACTACAGAGCATCCTTTCCCAGGACAAGTAGTGTTCAGAAATACCTGCAACACATCCCTTATTAAAGGCCTCATGTTAGTGTTAGTTGAAAGTCAGAAATTCAATTCGGAACAAAGAGCAGAAACAGGTCTCAGAAGTTGAACTCAAGAGTCCTAAACAGAGCTGTCCATGTTTGTGACAGACAGTTCTGCAGCAAGAAGCATGACAGCTTTGGTGTCCCCAGCTCTTAGAGCACATTGCCACTAGTCACCCATTTCCATCTGCACAAATCTTCCAGATTTGGAGCAGATTCCTAATTAACTTTAATTAGCCAGTCATATTTATGTGAATAAGTTTAAGTGTTTTTGAAAAATTGTAGAACATCACAAACAAACATTTATTTGATCACATGAAAAAGGCAGCTGTTTACCTAAAGGAAGACCAACAAATAAATATATAAATAATGCTCCCAAACTCCCAAACTGAAAGTAAAACTGCATTCTTGTAGAGCAAAAATATAATTTGAAGTACATGTTCATTTGGACTCAATAAAATAAAATAAAATAAAAAAAAATCCTAGCCAGAAAAGGAGAAGCAGAAGATGCATTAGAGTAGAATCTCACTATACTGCACGGTGGTTTTAGTGATCCAATTTCCACACCAAAACAAACTAAAAAAAAAAAAAGTGTTCCCATAAAATCCTCCCCAGCTATCCCAGATTAGGAAACTCAACCCGTCTTTCAACTTCACAGAAGCTGAAACTGAACATGCCATGAATAGCTTGATCAGGTCTGAATCACAGGTTTTAGAGAGCTTGTGACTAAAATAGCGCTACAAACTGGTGTTAATCCTGGCTCAAAAAGCCTGCCTTTCTCCTACCTTTATCTTATATCAAGTTGTTTATCACATTCCTTCCTTATACATCACTCCTTGTGATGAAAGCAAGACTATGATTAATACTTTTTATTACGTTGGTTCCAGTGACTTGGAATGAATTTGCCCTCACTCTTTAAGCATGCTACCACACCCACGGCAGGGCACTCAAACAATTCTAGGAATGCAAGGTAGAAAAAAATTACCTTAGCCTATCCCCCATAAACCTATAGCAGTAAAACCAACCAACTGTATGTTGGCTTCAAGTACTATACATAGAATCACAGAACCACAGAATCGTTATGGCTGGAAAAGACCTTCAAGGGCATCAAGTCCAACCATAAACCTTCCAACACCCTGCCTGCTAAACCACGTCCCAAGCGCCTCCTCTACACGTTTCTTGAACACTGCCAGGGACACATCTTCGGATTTTTTTCCCGACAAAAAGAAAAATCAATTCCTTTGGAGAGCCCAGGAAAGGCACTGTTGGCTTCTGTTGTGCACTCTATCTCTGTGCTTTCCTGTGGCTCATTAATCAAAGTAGGTTGTAGAAGTTAGAAACGGGAAGTAGTCAAATATCTTTTCAGTTTTCCTAACTATGAAGTGGCATAATAAGAGGTTTTACCTGCATGTGGCTCACACAGCTGCAATCTGCTATTTTACATTTACCATAGCATCATGTCTTTTATCTAAATTCAGGGACTAATCTCTCTATGCAACATATTTTTTTCTGTTTAAACACAGAACATACTGCATAAAGGATGTGAAGATTTGAACTTGCCCAGACACTGACTGACAGCCAACTATACTTAACAATTAACAACATCCTTTGTACTAATTAGTGCTTGTCTTAGCTTGAGTGACAGGTGTAATTTCTTTGCCTGTGGCATGACAGGCCTAAGATCAGCTGTATGAAACAGCACTAACCTAAAAGTGATTCAGCACTGGATGTTTTTAAAAACTGATTAGCGACCGAGACATGTGAACTGACGAGACACTCATAACCTGCCTGAACTGCAAGGAACTGTTTGTCCTTTCATAGCACTTTATGCAAAGCCTACATGATGGTGCATCAAATTGAGTTTTCTACCAGGAAGCAATTTGTACTTAAAAAACACATGAACGTAACATGGTTGATACGTGGGCTTCTTCCCTATCAACATAGGCGAAGTTGTACCAACAGGAAGGCCTTCTTCAGACGGAGGTCTTCCCACTAGATCTGTCACTAGGGAGATCTCTAGCAGGGTAGGGAAGCAGAGGCTTTGAGTTAAAGTGTTTTATATCGGAATTATAGTGATACACAAAGTTAAGAGCCACGCTGGTTCCTGTTGCCTAATACATTAATATGAGGTGCAGTTAAAACAGAAACACGAGCTGCATCTTCGCTATGTGCCAGACACGCTTCATGGCTCTATCCAGAGCGGAACAGCTCAAACTTCAGGCACGATCCATACATATTTCAGGCAACCCGCAGACAGATCACCTCAGACTATGCTCACAGGACCCGTCTAGGCACTGGGACTGCTGGCGAGAGCCCCTGAGGGGAAGGAGGCCGCGCCAGACCCGGTTCCTCCAGCACAAAGGTCGCCTGGCCACATCCCACACCTGCGAGGCCTCAGGCCATGAGAGAAAAAGGAAAAACAAATAAAATAAAATAAAAACAAAGCAGCCCTTCTCCCAGGAGCGCCTCCTCACCCTGGCGCCTCCGCCATGTCGGCGCCCC